CAGGGCACTCCGCTGTGAACTTTGGAGTGGAGCAAACACAGCCGCGTCTGCTCTAGGCCAAACTTTTGACTTTGTGTGTTTGTAGTTAACACAATGGACTTAAAGTGAATTAGTCATTGGGATCCACTTTCAAAGTTAAAAATCAAATCAAAATCTATTCAAAATCTGTATTAATATAGGGGTATATGCATTTTTTGTTACAACAGATAAAATAAGTATAAAACTACTTTTGTATGACCTGTGGAACTTTGTATTTTACATGTGAAAACCAGGGCTCCTTATTTTGAGACAAGGAACTAACCCATATTCTATTAAGTCATATATCTTTTATTGTATAGCCCTATTTTTCTGTGTGCAGTTGTACAAGTCTGTAGTGTGACAATTTTGAATTGAATAATTTTGCAATATTGTGGGGGATGCTTGACAAATAAAAAAAAAAGTTTGAACGTAACTTCAGGCATAATCATTGTGATAGGAACCAGCTTAGAGAGGGCGGAGCCTTGTCAGTCTCAGGTTGGACATGAAACATGAATCAGGAAATATCAAAAAGACTGAAAAAATAATCATATATTTGTAAGTATTTAATAGCCACAGGCTTTTATTCTATATACAAGTAGGAAGGAACTTGATTTTGCTTACTTAAATATGCACGTTGCACACTGAATATAATGATATGGACTTGCTAGTAATTCTTATTCGTGGACAGAATCTTAAACAATTTTTGTGTAATTTTTACTGTAAGCCCTGCAGAATCCTACTCCATGTTTTAACTACTACCCCAGTGGCCATCCTCCTCTGTCAGTGCAGCTCTGTGGAAGCAGCATTGTGTGTGTAATCATGGAGGGCTCATTCATTCTCATGGTAATTGGAGCAGAGGAATGGTGTTTCTGCAGCAGGACAGTCCAGGAAGGTTTTGGGACGTTGTACTGAGAATGGACTACCCCAGAAAGCCCATTTTAAAGTCCTATGTGAGTGTGTGCGAGGGGGGAGCGTGGAAATGTGGAGAAATTTGAGGAGTTTCAAGCAGCAGGTGGGTTACGCCTCATCAACAGGTTGAAGCAATGAGATTTTTGTGCAGAAAAGAATTAATCAGGATTTCAAATGTCGTCTTAGCATAAATTTAAGCTCTGGCTATAGAAATGTCGCGCCACTGTGACTTTGAGGGCAGTGCATTTGGTTTTAATGAGCTGTAGGTTTTGCTTCACTAATTTCTTTTATTCAAGTCTGTGTTTCTTGTCTTGTCTTTTATATTTGGTCATTTGAGCACTAAAGTTAAGGGAGGTGAAAGATGTCTACAGTAAGGACACTCCTTACTGTTGTATACCCGATGATTCACAATGATGCAAGATATGTTTGACAAAGATGAGTAGCTACACTAACTTTTACGAGCCTTGAGCAAGCATGATTGTTTCAAGGGAATTGCAGCAAATGAAACAACTATAATATATACAGCCAATGCAGTAATTTCAGTTTTCTAGAAAAGGATGGTAATATTTTAGTAGTTGTAGTATTTTTTTCCTGTCTTTACAATGATGGGCTAGTCTCTGTAGGAAACATATTTCTTTATTGTTGCATTTGGCTCCTGCAGTGTTGTTATGTGGGTCAGAGTTGAATGGATCTCATGGTTCTGTTTTATCTATGTAAACACTCCCAACCCCATGTGGAGCTATAATCTGGATCACGTTTAAATTCTGTTTTATACAATAATTAAGAAAATGATTTGACATAACTAATAGTGCAAGTTCAAAATCTGTCATTAATGCTTAAGAAAGGTCAAATATTTGTATTGGCATTCTTATCACGGTCTACAGAAACCCATGATTTTTCAGAATTTCTTGACATTTTTGTAATGTTTTGTCATCCTGTATTAAAATATTAACATTAAGGTGCACTTAGTTACATTAAGGTGTAACTTTTCTGGTAGAGGGCGCACCAGTTGCTTATTTCCATGGTGATGTTATTGCTTTGCCTGCAGTGTTCCAAAATATGACGTTAAACTTATCAGTCTGCATTGAAACAAGCAGGAGACGAGCCACCAACTATGTTTGGCCAATAAAAACACCCTTAACGGAATAAATGCATCTTATGTAAGTTTAAGAACATTTTCCGGAATGTTACAGGCAAAGCAATAGCATCTCTATTGTGGTGGACCCCCAACCTGAAATGTTATGTAGTGCAATTTTTTATTTTGGTAAATGGCCACATTTTTTATTGCGCTTTTCCACCTTCAAGGCACTCAAAGCACTTTCCAACAAGGAACCAGTGTACGCTGAGGGGTGAGGTGGGTTAAGTGTCTTGCCCAAGGACACAACGGCAGCATTCATCTGTGGGAGCTGGAATTATGCCAGCCAACCTGTGGGTCAGTGGATCTGACCACTCAACCAATGATGTTTATGTTGAGAGTGGGGTTCGAACTACCAACCTTCAGATCAGTCGACGAACACTCACACCAACTGAGCTACTGCAGCCCGTTTTGAACTTCTAACTTCTTAGATTTTGTTGTATCCCTGTTCTATCTTATCTGAGATTATCATGTTATCTATACAAATTCAACAAGATTTCACATTACTGATGGCTTGTGCTTCAAAGCATGTGTGTAAAATAGGTCACGTTGTGGTCATATGGGCATTTTTGCAGGTTTGCTGTGGATTTGACCGAGCATTGGGGCGTGTTAAGTGGAGCATATGATGTGGTTTTGTCTCTGGAGGATCAAACGTGGGAATGAGTCAATTTACTCCAATTAAGCTTTGAATCCTTTGTTTTGTGGGCCCTCATTTTGTTGTGTGACTTTTGGAAATCCCATTAGTGAAGTACTTATTCATCATGGAGGGTAAGGGAGAAGGGAGAGGTGGCTGGTGCGTGATGGAAGTTGGCCAAAGAAATAGTGACCGGAGACTCTATGCAAGCCACGAGAAAAGCTCCTTTGAGTTTGAGGTTTAGCCTGGTCACGTGAAGCCGAGCAGGAAGAGCGGGATGGAGGGATGAGGTCACAGAGGGGGAGAGAGAAAGAGGGAGGGAGACGAAGGGCAGGTGTTCAGAGGATCAGACACAACACAAAACTCCAAGTTGTTTTTAAAGAAGGGCGGGGCATTGTATTGAATTTTAATGAAGATTGCAATTCAGTCATTTATAATAATCAATAATCAGCTTGGACATCATAGAAAGGTCCACAGCCACATGTTATGCCACTAAAAGCTTGTGGTTTGAAGCAGATTTCAAACTTTGGAAAATTACTGTTTTTCTATGATAAATGTCAATTATTAAAACTCTGTATTGCCTATGTTCAGGACATTTAATTTAATATTAAAGTTGTTTGTTTGTTTTTAAAAAGACAAATTCAAATCAAAAATTGCAATTGATCATTATGATGAAAAATATTGTAATTATTATTTTTGTTTTATCATCCAGCCATAACTTATGTTTTAAACCCAATCTGAGTGTGCATCAATGAAGACAGTGGCACGGTGGGTTAAGTATTCTCCCACCAAGCCAATAATTGCCACTTCAACCCCGGCACATTTATAACACTGATAAGTGGCTGAATAAGACACACATTTAGCATTTAGAATTTAAATTGTATCTAGAGTTAATTAAAATATGACAAGGCTATGTAAATGGTTCTGCAACTAGAACACGCAAGACCCACATCAGGCCCGAAGTTAATGGCACTGATCCTTTGAGACCTTTGAGGGGAATGTTTAGACTTAGTTTAGACTAGTGTGTTATTTAGAATTAAATATTATAATTTAAATATCCAAAATGCCTGTAATAAGATGTAACATAAGGGCTGACACAGAGTTAACTTCATTAGGCTCTGGGCATCTGTTCAGAGAGTGAGGTGACATCATCCTTATCTGTCAACACAGGCAGTTACATGTCAAGGCTCTCCCTCCTTACACAGTGTTTGTTCCATACAACTATAGAGAAATATATATGTTAAATACTGTGGTGAATCCTACATGCAGATATAGTCACTTGTCTCCATTTATGTATGCACAGTTGGTTCTTTATTATACCTTGGTAAATAAAGTGCACCCTAATCATAGCTAGACCCCAAACAATCTGCCTATAAACATGTAGCCTTGTTATCTCCGCTCTCCGCCTCCTCCTTAGTGTCCACTGGTCCCTGGATACGTCTGTAGACCATTGTACCACACACAAAGCCCCAAGTCCACCCCACTCCTGCTTCCATTCATAAAAGCCATTGATGCGTAAAACCGGGCTCTCCCTCCAAGCCCAGGGACCCCGAGAGCTCAGCCCTCGCTAGTGATAGCAGAGACATTGATCAAAAGCATGTCGGACACATTGGGTAGTGAAGGGGTGGTCCCAGGACACGATGAAAGGGGGGCATTGGCTGGGAAAGGACATAATGCTCTTTTTATTGTTACATTGACATCTACTTTACATGCCTGATCCCATCCATTTTAAATACCTATAATTTACATATTTACTCAAACAGTATGCCAAATTTACATAAATTAATTAGTTATTATTTTAAGTTATATTTTCATACTTTATCTTGTCAATCCTTATGTTAGTTATCTAATAATAGCAGTAATGGCAATATCTAGATTAGTTGCCAGTTGTTAAAGGTGCACTGGTGGAGGGTCTGCCACCTGCTTTTCTCCATGGAGATGTTACTGTTTTGCCTTGATTATTCCACAGTATGTAAATAAACTGGATTATCTCAATGAAGACAGGTTAAAGGTCAGATCTATGGAGAAGCAAGGTAAAATTCATGTTTTTAAGGTATTATTACTGCTATAAAACACCTACAATTGAACAAATGTAAGGGAGATATATTTAATGTCCTACTTTGGAACATTCAAGGGAAAGAAATAACACCTCCATGGATGCAAACATGTAGCGGACCCTCCACCTTATAAGTTACAAGTGCATCTTTAAGTCTGCGTAAATAGGTCTATTATAGTAGCAGTTGAAGTTGTGTTTTTTTTTTCTCTCTAAAACTAAAAACTGTATTTCTCTTTCATTGTTTTCAGACACTTCTGTCATCACAACCTAAACCACTAGACTCCCCTCTGGTCTCTGATGAAGCCCCAGCTCCGAACACAGAGGCTGAGGATCCAGATGTCAGGATGCTGGAGAAGAGGTCAAAAGTCATCGAGGAGCTGCTTCAAACTGAGAAAGACTACATCAAGGACCTGCAGATGTGTGTGGAGGAGATCATAGAGCCACTACAACAGAAACAGGTGAACAGGCAAATCAGTGAAGATATTTTCTGTTACAAAAGTTTAACACTTACTAAAGTATCTGTGTAATCCTTCAGTTGTCCTCGTCAGTTTCCATAGCAAAAGAAAATTAAATTCTGTTAACTAGACAGAAGTTTTAGAATGAAGACGCCCACTTGAATGAGTGTTAAAACATCATTTTCTTTTGCTCTTATTAATTTGTTAAGCTAAAAGATTGTAGAGAAACTTGGTTCATACAGATAGGACAAACAGTTGTGAAACGTGTTTTTTTTTTTTTTTTTGTCTCCAAAGGTGAAGAATGTGGACTTTGAGGGTCTCTTTGGGAACATCACTTCTGTAATAGACCTATCCCAGCGATTGTTTGATGAGCTGCAAGAGTCAGACTCGATAGGTAAGCATTAACAAGAATAAAAATATAAAAATATGAATTGGAAGCATTTCTCCTGAACTACATTATATTTTCTAGCAGTGTAACATTTTCTAATGTCTCCTTTCTTTGCAGGGAAGGTTTTTCTCACCTTCAAAGTGGAGTTGGAGGAGGTCTACAAAATCTATTGCCAAAACCATGACGATTCCATATCTTTACTGGAGACTTATGAAAAGAATGAGGCAGTCCAGAAGCATGTTCTGGAGTGTCTGGAGAGGCTGAGGTGAGTCTAAACTGTACTTAGACCAAATGTTCTGTATTGTATTCTGTTGAATATTTAAATGTGTACAGTATATAAAAGAAACTAAATCACAATTCATGCAGACTTGATTTCTACTCATCCCTTTTCCATGTTATCAAATTTATCATGCGCCTCCAATGAGACTTTGAACTTTTTAATGCATTGTAGGGTATGAGTGCTTAGTAAATCTTTAAACAATAGAAACCCATAGGCGGTTGTTGTGTGTGTGGTTCTCTCAGTGGACAAATGTAATGTGAAGGAGTTGAAGAATGTGCCCTGCCTTGTTACACCTGTCCAAGTTTCACCAGCATGACTCAGGCAGCAAACATATATTAAGATAAATATATGTCTAACGTTTAACTACAATCCTTTTTGTTGTGGCTATTCCCCAAATTGTCACTTACAAATCTTTTTTGGATTTATTTGCTGCTCTTACACTGTTTGTAAGGATAGTCTTGTTTTACTAGTTAGACCTGGCCTTTGCCCAGTTTTAAAAGATACAGTCATAAATTGTAGACAGGGTGTTACCTAGTCAACACCTTTGTTTCAGTTTCTGAGTAAAATCTCGTGTATTGCAATTTTAAACCAATTAGTGTCTCGCTGCAAATGTTTAAACTTGTTTGTCCTCTTTTTATTCTCATCCAATGTGCAGGGGCATTTATCGAGGCTGGTAAGTGACTAAATAGTGGTTTACAGCATGAAAATCATTTTGAACGCATGCCTACTGCTCACTAACCCCAGCAAAATATATGCATGTTTTATTGTGTGATTGTTATTCTATCTGTGTTTTAATTGTGATCTGCTTGGACCATGGGTTCAAATCATGCTTTGTTTTGCTTGAGCATAAGGCTTGCATTTGTGCTAAAAACTCATTCATCCTTTACCTTCCCTCTCCTTGTGAGGTCATGTTGATCCTTGTCTTTTGGGTATGCAATGCCATCTTCTGGGCTAAAACAGCAACTGCAATTTCATGGACAGTGATTTTGAAAACTAGTATTTATTGTATACAGCGAGTTACGATACAGTACAGTGTTATATAATGGCATTCGTTATTTCATTTTAGAATATTTATTTGACCGGATTTAACAAACTGGCTCACATTTGGGGGCTATGACATCATTCTGACAACATATTAAGGAGGAATATCATCTAAATTGTTTAACTGAATACAAATAATTTGACTTATCTTAAAATGGAAAGCTGATTTGCCCACTAGAATGCATTAAACCATATTGGGGTTTTTCCCCCTCAAGTGTTAATCCTCATCATTATTACCTCTCATTATTTTGACCTACTTTGTGGAAATCAGAATTGAGCTGTTGTAGCTGTGGCTTCTAATAGTCTTCACCACACTTTTCATCCATATTTTAAACACATCTTTGCTTGTTTTTCAGGGGTAAGACCAACTACATAAACCTGGGCTCTTTCTTGATAAAGCCGGTGCAGAGGGTGATGCGTTACCCTCTGCTGCTGATGGAGCTGCTGGGAGCCACTCCAGAGAGCCATCACGACCGCACAGAGCTCACACAGGCTCTACAGGCTATCAAGGAAATCAACGTCAATATCAACGAATACAAGCGGAGGAAAGATCTTGGTGAGAAGGATTTTTAAATGATAAAACAAAACAGTAACAGTTTTATTGTAAATGTGCGACAACCTGTAATTACATTATAGTAGCTCGGTAATTTTATTAGATGGATGGGTTACATTGTACCAAAATAGATTGGTAGAAGCGCTTTTTGTTGCCTTTTTGTATGAGAAGTACTCTATAAATAAAGTTTGATTGATTGATGGATAAGAACACTTGTAAGCATGGTGTGAACTAAATGAATAACATTATGATTAGTTAAGTGCTTTTATACTGCCTCTTGGCCAGGTCGTCATTGTAAATGAGGTGTACTCAACTGACTTACCTGGTAAAATATTGAATAAATAAAAACTAAAAAGTGAGCATGTTTTGTGCCATGACACTTGTTACCTTGACAATTAACATTTTGTCCAAGTTTTTGTGTTTACAAACTAGTAAAAGTGAATGCAATATTGTGTGTACGTATGTACATCAGTTTTGTGGTCTTTTACTGATCATTTTTATTTAAAATGTTATGTGTGATCAGGTATACCCTGGCATTGTTATAAAATTGCTCCATGTTTTCCACAGTGGTGAAGTACAGAAAAACAGATGAAAACACATTTATTGACAAGATCTCAAAGCTGAGCATGCACTCCATCATCAAGAAGTCCAACCGCGTCAGCAGCCACCTCAAGCATCTTACGGGAATCTCAACACAGGTAACACAATTATTAACTTCTTTAAACCATTTCTGAAAAGGAGAAAGTAATTATGCATTTGTATTTTTTTTAGATCAAAGATGAAGCATTTGATGATGCTGAAAAGAGATTCCGGCTGCAAGAAAGATTGATCAAATCATTCATCAGAGACATTTCTTTGTACCTTCAGCACATACGGGTAAATAGACATAAAACATTTTTAATACAGTATCTAAAATGTATTAAAAAACTGTCTTATTACTTGAACTATTGAAAATGGTTAGTTAATTCTGTTTTTCCTTTTCTAATTCCTTTTTAGGAGTCAGCCTCTGTGAAGGTCTTGGCAGCCATGAGCTTTAGTGACATCTACTCCGACCGCAGTGTGCTGGCCCCTGAGAACTTCCAGAGGGCTCACCGCTCCATCAGTGATAAACAGTTCACGGAGTTTGTGAGTATCAATCATTACTATTGCCCAATCCATGTAATATTCAAAATGTTAAGTTTAGATTTTCTATTATGGTGTAATATTGACAGTCAGAGATGGCACTCGGTAATCAGTAACTTTTTAAAGAAATTGTTCTTTTCTGAGTTGAGTCTTCATACTTTTACTTTTTACGCCTACTTCTTTTTGTTACAAGGAACAAAAACTTTATATTGACAATATTAAATGTTATAGGACGTATTATAAATCCTATATTTTGGCTACTCTACCCACCTCAGATGATTATGTAGGCCTATACGATATCTTCTGAAGTCTGAATTATCTTTTACTCTGAGCAGAAAGAACGTACCGAAGCACTGGTCATCAGCCCTCTGAATCAACTCCTGCTTATGTTTGCTGGACCCCACAAACTCATCCAGAAGAGATTCGATAAACTCTTGGATTACGACAACTGCAAAGAGCGTGCCGATCGGCTCAAAGACCGCCGCGTGCAGGACGAACTGCAAGTGGCACGAAACACCTACGAAGCACTGAACGCACAACTGCTGGACGAGCTGCCCAAGTTTAACACCGCCGCCGATGATCTGTTCATCGGCTGTGTCCGGGCATTCGCTCAAGCACAAAAAGACTTTATGAAGACAACACTGGGAGAGTTACAGCCCCTCCTACAGGTGGGGAGAGTGAATTACAGCACTGCATTTTATACTAAGGGTTGAGAATCATAAGAGTGTACAAGTAATATTGCCCCTATTTTTAGAAGAAGCAATAAAATGCCTGTTCATTTTTTTAAGGGAAAAATATCCACATACACAATTTCCACAAAGTTTTTTCCTTGCTTTAAAAAGCAATCCAAATTATGTGCAGTGTATTTCCCCCAAAATCACCTTAAGATTCTCATTCCTCATGTCCTTTATAGTAGTACTAAGAACTATTAACTGATTTCAGTTATGCTCTTTACATTTTAGTTTTCTAGTAAACTTGGTAAAGGAAACCTGATCGCCAAATTCCAAGATGAACACAGCCTTGTTCTCCAGCTACTGCAAAGCTTTAGTTTCTGCCCTGAAAACCTTCCTCCTGCTGCTGCCACCACCACCACCACCAAAAAACCCTTTGAGAAGAAAACACTTGAAAAACAGACCTCGAAAAAACAACTACATACTGTGAGTTTCTATATCACAATCCCAACCATACTGTAGAAAGAAGTAATAACTAAATGTTTCTTTTATAGCAGCCTCCCAAAGTCCTGCAGACAGATAAGCACCGCACAGAGCTGCTTGTGCGCTATGGTCCAGACAAACTGTTCCAGGCCGACAGGAACTTTAACGCTGCTCAGGATCTGGATGTCTCTATTCAGGAAGGAGATCTCGTGGGGGTCATCAAGCAGCAAGATCCAATGGGAAGCAACAATCGCTGGCTCATTGATAATGGAGGTAGGTCCCTTTTGTGAATGTCATTATAATGTCCAGTATGTCTGTTCAAGTTTATTACATGCCTTACTGCAAATGGTAGCTTAAATCTCACCCTTTCACAGACAGTCAGACAAGTTGCTTTACAATTTTGTACATTATTCATTCATACATTATTCAATCATATGTTATTCTGAAAATATGGTTGCAGATGAGATAATCGATATATTGCACATGATACTTTATGATATATTGCTAGTTTTAAGAACCAAAAGCATTTCAGTTAATATGAAATATGTCTATTTTAATCATCAAAACTGTGAATTTGTCATGTGTACTGCATAAACAAGTTTTCTTCCACTAAATAAACAACAAAATTATAGTTTGGTCGCCAAAAAAAAAACTTAAATCGATACTGAAGCTCATGATAAGAATACTGTACCATCAAATTTACCATCACCATTACCATTTCCATCTTTTTGCACACATTTACTTACAACTCCTGGATAAGTTAGCTTATACCTAAAATGATAATTACTTGTGAATTTAATATTCTTAATGGTCATTACATATTGTCCAAATAAAGTCATACACTTTAACTGTAAATGGTACAAAGAATAATGTATTTATTTTTATTCCAGTGACCAGGGGCTTTGTGTACAGTTCCTTCCTCAAACCCTACAACGCACGCAGGAGCCAATCAGATGTCTCCATTGAGAGCCAGTCATCCAATGAATCTGGATACGGAGGCTCCTCCCCGGTTTTCTCACGTCAAAACAGCAACAGCACCTTAACATTCAATCAGGACACTGCCACCGTCAGCTTTTCTACATCACAACCTCCAAATCAGCCTTCACCACACCCCTCTCTAGATTCAGAATCATCTAGAAGGAGCCACACTAGAGATGCACAAGATTTAGTTTGTCAAAGCAACTCTACGAACCCATCTCCCAGGAATTCAAGTCAGAAGGAGTACTCAAGTCATCGCGATGCAGAGCTTCCCTATTGGCATTCAGGCAATCATAGACACTCTTATGATGGAAATCGTGCAAGTCCAAGTAAACATAAGGAAGTGTCTGACCAATCAGAGACAGACTCTAGTTCATCGTCCAATAGGAATGGACAGTCGCGATATGGACCCAGTGATAAAGGGTATAATTCTCACCAGTGGAGAAATGTAAACAGCAGTGAAAAGAGGAAGCCTGCTGCCTACTCTAGAGATGACTATATCGAGCCTGAGCCTGAATCAGAAGCTGACGATTTGGATGGTCACCAGGTAACAACAAAACAGAAATGTTGTAGCCAATTCCTTTATATAGTTGTACTGTAATATAATCTACTGGTAGCTCTCAAATGAAAGAACATTGCTTTTTTTTTTTATGACTCTACATTAACCAGATCTAGCTAACAAACTTGATATTTTAACAATTTAACACTTTTTGATCTCTGCAAGTGCTGTGTGTTTATATATTTTATTTAATATTAAAAAAAATTTATTCACATGAAACATACTTAAAAATGCTTAAAAACACAAATTAATACCAGCCCTCTTTTCTGTCTTTTCTCAGATATATTATGCACTCTACTCTTTTAATGCCCGCTGTGCCAATGAACTGAGCATTTCAGCCAATCAGAGACTGCGGATTCTCGAGTTCCAGGACATGAACGGCAACAGCGAATGGTGGCTCGGTGAAGCAGACGGCAAACGGGGCTATGTGCCTTCAAACTACATCCGCAAATCAGAATATACATGATTCTTAGTCCTCCATGACTTCATAAAACGAGCAAGGCACAAAAAAGACACTTGTCATGAAGTTTGGACCTTAAGTGCTGCTGAAATTATATACTCATATTTATAGAGTTTTTAAATATAATTTTTTTATATAACTGACACATCTTACTCCAACCAGTTGAAAAACTTGTGAATCTCACCAGATGGTTGTCATAATCTCTGGATCTTGATAGTATTGGCACATGGGACATTGCAATGAAATGTGAATGTTTATGGTTGATCTGACTTGTATGCAGAATGAATAATGTACTAAAGGAGTTTTCTGCATGTGGTGTAGATCATTACATTTATAAAGATGTGGCGCATTTATAATGTGTCTCTGTTCAGATTTGAAGGCACTTAAATTATGTTTCATTGGATGAAAGTTTGATGGTCAGGCCATAGACAATATTTGGAGTGCTTTGAAATGTGTATGAATCATCTGAATAAAAGCCAAGTATTGTACACAGCACTGTTTGTGTCATTGCATTTGGGTTTAAATACTAAATATGTCAAGAATGGTTTCCAGAAATGTTGAATCTCTGAACCCGTTGAATCCTCCAGTACCTCTTCCTCTGGGCCCCACTGTCTGAGACATTCTCTGAGCACATCATCTGTCAGGGCCTTGTCCTTGATGTACTCATGGAGCTTGGATGTTAATCGTAATCTGTGAAGTCTGATTGGACAGTATAAAGCTACTTGGTATATATGAATCTTTAGAAAAATTGTGTTAATAGTTTTTTGGTATACCCCAGGGGTCTCATATATTTTAAGTTTTATAGGCATCAACTGGTTTGCTGTGGCTCTCATACTTCATTTCTTGCAACCTCTAAAATTAGTAGCTCTCCGGCATTTTCATTGTAAAAGTACCTCACCAGAGGTAAAAGGTTGGAGACCCCTGGCATACCCTAATAGGACTGGACTTGCAAGCATTTTAGTGCATACTTTATGCAAACAGTAAACATGACCCGTGACTTCTTGCATAAAAATGATAAACAGACTAATGTTTAAAATGTATTTATTCAGTCCTTGACGATCATAAAATATTCCAAGTATTTTATGTCTAAGCAAACAGTAAGATAAAATAATTACGAAATTTGTTACATTTTGGTTATTTTTGCTAAATCTTCTGAATGTGGACTAAAAGAAAAATCAATGTAAGTTAGTAATTGTTAACCAAATGGAGGAGTGATCAATATTTCTGAGGGTCTTTACCTCAAAAACGTTGCACTCATATTCACACTGTCCCAGAAATCCTGAAGACATCATGGGCTGTTCAATACCTCTCTTAGTGTTATTTTGTGCCATCAGTGCCACTGGACAGGAGTACTATGTAAGTATCAAGATAACATGCATGCAGTTTAATTAACACATTCACCAACAGACTTGGGTAAATTTATAGGTCCTATATGATGCAAAATTGACTCCTATGAGCTTTAAACCATGTCATAATGTTACCTCGTCAAAAACATACCTGGGGTTGTGTTTTCACACTTGCTTGTGTAACACTTATTATAGGTCTGTCTACATCTCCAAAGCTCAAAATTCTTTGTTCTTTGTGATGTAGCGGTAATTTTCAAGTTAACAGCTGCCTTTTACCTTTTGTTCAGTAGATTTGGAATTTCTGGTGCTGAAATTAAGCTATATCAAATGCTTCTAGTGAAGGTGAAAGGAGTTTAAAAACATTGTGGAGTACTTCTTGTATTACCACATGACATCACAAAGTGGAGTGCTCTCTGTTTGAAAAAAAAATTAAATATGCAGGTTTTGTGTGTTAAACTTGTGAATGAAACAAAACAAATCCAGGTATGTTTTAATGAGGAAACAACATAGATAACATTGATCAGAAAATTGTGCACTGGTAATATGGGTCCTTTAAATCTAAAATTGTTTCCAGGAATATATAGATACTGGTGGAAATTTTGAATATTACTACGATGAAAGCACTGACAGCCCTGGAGAGGTTACTGAAACTACCATAGATGATTGGCTTTTTGAACTACTGGACACTACAGGTAATTTTTTGGGTGTAACCTGCTCTATGTAACCTATTGCTATCACTACCAATCAATTGAACTTCGGAAAAACTTTATGTAATCTCTCTTTATATATATAGATCACTGTGCATCACAACCATGCTCAAATGGAGCTAGTTGTGAAAATACAGCTGACGGTGGATTTCGGTGCCATTGTTTCGAGCCCTTCACAGGAAAGACATGCCAGATAGGTAGGTTTATGCACAATTACTTTAGGATTAGTAAATATGAAATTTGACACCCTTGGAATTGGTAATTTGTTTTTCAGTGAAAGACTATTGTAAAACTGCAAACTGTGGTCGTGGCACCTGTCTTTTTAAATCTTCTTACCCATATTATGAATGCAAATGTAAGCATCCATACAGACCTCCCAACTGCAAGAAAGGTTAGTTGAGTTTTGATATATATATATATATATATATATATATATATATATATATATATATATATATATATATATATATATATATTAAGTTATGTTGAAATGCTGCATCAATTTACAAGAAATTTTACTTTTTATTTATTTATTATTATTTATCTTTTTTTTTTTTTTTCCTAGCGGTTGCATGCAGACCCAATCCCTGCCAAAATGGAGGTTCTTGTCTCAAAAGCTCCAAGCGCACCTCCTTCAGATGCTCCTGTCCGAGTGGCTACACTGGGACATTTTGTGAAGTTGGTGAGTACATTTTGGTTATTCTTAATACATTGCACATGATGATCGTGATTGTTTATGCAGATTTGTACATTTTCAGGGCCTAATGACTGTTATCAGGAGGATGGGGAGACTTACAGGGGGATGGTGAGTGTGACCGTGGATGGGGACGAGTGTCTGGACTGGAATTCTTATTTCATCCTGCTAAATGGAGGAGATCCATTCACTGAGTATGCAGGCTTCGATGGACTCGGGTCACATAATTTCTGCAGGTAAGTACGCAATAATACAATAAGTTTGTCTTTTTTGTGTTACCAGTCATGGAAAATAATTTTAAGCTCTTTGACCGTTGTTTCAATCACTCAGGAATCCAGATGGAGAAACCCAGCCCTGGTGCTTTATCATCCAAAATGGCCAACTTAGATGGAAGCACTGCAATGTTAGGCAATGCTCCACAAGTATGTATACTGTAGTACTACGTAATGCCAGCTCTCCAGTTTTCTCACTTTAAGCTTTTTCACTGCTACAGCTACTGTGATCCCTCCCACCATCTATGAGAGCGCTGTACCCACCCCAGCTCCAAACAAACCTGATATACCTGCTCCCTCTGAGTCCTTCTCCCAGTGTGGACAACCTCAGCCAGGACGCGCCTCCAGGATTTTTGGAGGAAAGAAGTCCCTACCCGGAGCTCACCCCTGGCAGGTCTCTCTTCAGGTCCGCCCCCGATACTCCTCTGACCGCTTCAATCACATCTGTGGGGGCATTCTGCTCAGCTCCTGTTGGGTTCTTACGGCAGCACACTGCATGTAAGCACAAACAGAATAATAATAATAAAATCATATTAATTGATAAATGCAAATAATTCTGTAAAACCATTAATAATAATATTTGATTATTATACTTTTTTACTATAATTGTTGCATACTGATATATATGTTTATTATAGTGTGATGTTAAACATCTTTCTATTTATTTCCAGAAAAAATGATGTCGAAATGCAGGTTGTTCTTGGAGGAGTGGACATTGAAAGGCAGGAAGTATATGACCAGACTATTCCTGTGGAGAGGGCTGTGGTGCATGAAAACTACAGAGAGTCGCCATTTGCTCTTCATAATGATATTGGTAATATTTGTCCCATTTGTCCCACTTTTAAAAGACCAGTTACTTATGCATCACTTTCTTCTGTTTCTGTAGCAATGCTCAAGCTGAGAGCCACGGACAAGTCTCTTTGTGCCAAAGAAACACGTTTTGTGAAGGCGGCATGTCTCCCAGGAGAAGTGTTTCCCAGCGGGACAGAGTGTGTGATCTCTGGATGGGGAGTGACTGAGACACGTATGTTAAACAAAACTCAAAATCACAAACTTACATACAAATAGAATAAAATACTATGCAAAAGCATGACTTCAGGCCAGTGAAGTTGGACATGTTTTGGCAGCATATGAAATATCCACCAGCCAGCTAAAACTCATATTAAGGATTTACATTGGAAAACAAGGTAATCTGTGCCTAAGCATAATGTAGAACTGTCATGTGTTGTATGCTTTTACTGTATTTTTTTATCCTTAGTTTTTTATCCTTAGTGTACATTTACACTAGAGAACTAAAATTGTCCTACAAACACTAAACCATAAAACATACACATAGGCATACACATATATCTTCTTCTTTAAAAACTCATGGAGCTACTGCTGATTGATACAATGTGACAATGTGGAGATACAGTGTGGTAATGTGGAGTTGTCTTGTGGTTCCCAGAGAGATATGGCACCAACTATCTGCTGGACGCTCGTGTGCTACTGATCTCACAGGACAAATGTAAAGCCCCTCATGTCTACGGAAACACATTGGACGACAGCATGTTCTGTGCCGGTAACATGAATGGGGGCACCGACTCGTGCCAGGTCAGAGCAAGTGTTAACTGTGTTTCTAATGATAAAATTCAAGAGTATATACATTACAGAGAGTCCCTTGGATTGTTAAGAGGCTGTGGTATAAAAAATAAACAATTGTTTATGGGGGAATTTGGAGCAGAGTTCCATATTTGGAACATAAATTTATTTATGGACAAAATAGCAAAATAAAAACACTAGGATCATGTAGAATGAACATTTTAAGACCAAAATGAGGAGCCTGACAGCAGCAGTTACAGAGAGGGGGTGATGTTTCTTTCAACATAATGTAAATTGGAGCCAGAGTTGACAGAGCCTGAAGGGCACCTGTGCTCACATCCTGTTTGGAATGCAGCTGCTAGCAGTTTAGCTATGTCCATTTATATAAACAGTTTATGGTTCTGAAGTGATGCTATATAAAAGTTTTTACAGTTTTTCACCAGAATAAATTATTTATTTTAGGGAATTTCTTTCATTATTTGCCCTGATAATGGATCTAAATACATCAGCATAGGTCATAAACCAAGAAATGCTCAACCAGTGGTACCAAAATAATAATATGGTAATAAGAATCTGAGCCTTGATGCATGAATACTGTGAATACTGTGTAATAGTAATGTGTTTTGTGCAGGGAGACTCGGGGGGTCCCCTGGTGTGCGCGCGTAATGGGATTCACTATGTGGTGGGAGTGGTGAGCTGGGGAGACGACTGCGGCAAGAAGTACAAGCCTGGAGTCTATGCCAATGTCGGCAAATTCACCAACTGGATCACCAGCCATTTAAACTCCTAAATGTGTGTCCTAGACCACTGTGCTTTACCTAATGTTCAGAATGACTGAAAGAAAACATCTGATATATAAATCAAGTTATACTGATTGATTGATGTGTTTGGTTTTAGACTTCCAACTGGATTTGTTACTCTTTTATTAACACAAGAAAATGTTTGAAATACTTTATGCTGTAAGGGCAAATTGAATTCTATATTTACAATAAATTCCATTCCATTTTCTTCCGTTTATCCGGGGCCGGGTCGCTGAGGCAGCAGTCTAAGCAGGGACTCCCAGACTTCCCTTTCCACACACACTTCCTCCAGCTCTTCTGGGGGAACCCCGAGGCGTTAAAATTTTTTAAATTTGACTTTTTAAATTAATTTGATCTTTTATTCCTGCATAAAAAAACAAACAAAACAAAACAAAACAAACAAACAAACAAACAAACAAACAAACAAAAAACCAACAACATTTGGCTAATAAACTATTAAGGGTTAACTTGAATTGTAGAACACTTAAAAGGCAGAGCCAAAGTCTAAATTACATGTAAACTCCCACAAATCAATGCTGCTGTCTAAATATTGATCAGATGTGGGTGTATGGACTTAGATATAAGGGTTGCTCACTGTATTTGCATTTGAGCTGAGGTTCACGATGTTGGCTGTCAGGGTCCTGATCATAGTCTTCTGTGTCTTATTTGTCAATGGAGAAACCAATGTAAGTATAATACTTGGATTTGTCACAAATGCAAACTGATGCAAACTGTAACATTTGATTTCTTATTTGTGCTTTTGAACTTGTAGGACACAATATGTAAGCACCTTTTTCTGTTTTTCATTATTAATAAGTGGTCATACAAGTTGAAATTTCTTATTTTTTATTAATGTATTTGCTTTTGTTAGATATAGAGTATGGTTCGGACCACCCCACAGAGCCACCGTTCAGCTTTGACATAGGCGATTGGCTGATAGATCTCCTGGTTGATAACAGTAAGACAAAATTTAATCTTACGGAAAAAAAAGAAGTTTGCTGTTTTAACTATTCATGGGTTTCAAACTATGGCAACCATCCTCTGTGGTCAAAGCAATTCAAATAAAAATATATCTTTTAAATGGGGAAATGTCCTCACAAAATCCTTCATCTTAAGAAGGAATCGTTTATCTGAAACCCATAAATAGACAATGATTATTTTACCTAAAATTTACAAAATTAAGTGTTGGCAGAGATTGAATATGCTATTATCATGAACTTTTAATTTCAACAAGACTAAACTGTAAATAAAAACTGAACTGCTGTATAATAGATTGCATTAAAATGTACTGGCTGTTGGTAATGTAATTTTCCTCTTCACAGATGTGTGTGATCCAAACCCATGTTTCAATGGGGGCTCATGCCAACAAAAATCAAACACTGAGTTTGAGTGTTTGTGTCAAGAGCCCTATGGAGGCAAGGGGTGCCAGAAAGGTGCTTTTCTAAATATCGATGAATTATGTTACTTATCTTTTCATGTTGTGCAATGTTTCTGTTTTGAATTTCAGTGAAAAATGTTTGTGAAAATGTGAGTTGCGGCCATGGCATGTGTGTTGTTGACCTGAGTGAACCTCCGTTTTACCAGTGCAAGTGCAGACTACCGTACACCGGGCCTAACTGCATGACTCGTGAGTCCTTTCCATTTCATACTAGTTATGAAAGCCAGGTTTCAGGAATGCTGTTGAAATGTCTTTGTAGAAATAGTATTAGGAGTGTTGCCATGGTTCTGTTCTGGTTATAGGTCCTATATGTTCCACATGTGAACTTTTAGCCATGTTAGAATGTTGTTACCTCCTTAAAAACATACACGGAGTGTTTTGTTTCATTCACTCTTTTTAGAGTAATCCTGGATTTTTAGTCTGTCTACATCTCCGAAGATCAAAATGCTCTGTTCCATCTTGTGATGTTTGAAGCTGTAGTTTTCAACATTTACTTTTAAGTTTAACTGACGTTCAATAGACCTTGGCAATTCTAGGGCTGAAATTATCCAAATGATTTTAGAGAGGCTATGTGGAGTTTAAAAACACAATAGGACTCTTCTCGTAAAACCACTTGACATCACAAGGTGGAACGCAGTGTTTTCTGTTTGATAGAAGAAGTCAGCCTAAATATGCGGGATTTCTGTGTTAAACATGTGTGAATGAAACAAAACACAACTCTGGGTATGTTTTTCATGAGGAAGCAACATTATAACACAGATCAGTATACAAAGTAATAGATTCCTTTAAGGATCAGGCAGTGTATTTGGAAGGTGATAATATAATATAAGTGGTGCATTTCTACATTTCATTGTTACATGTTCTGTATTTGTCTTTTTGTTTAGTGCCCCTTAGTCCCTGTGCTTCTAACCCTTGCCAGCACGGAGGCGTCTGTATCCCTGGTATCAACCGCTTCTACTGTGCCTGCCAAAGAGGATACACAGGGAAGTTCTGTGAAAGTCGTACGTAAAAATTACAGATGTTTTGTTTTGTCCTTCCAGTTACATTAACTCCAAATTTTAAATATGGTGTTGCATTCAAACAGTTACATTCACCTCCACAAATACTTTCCCCCAAATCATTTCTCAGATCAAAACGTTGCACTCTCTTTTGAGTAATATTAATTAGAAATTACAGTACTCTACAATTTAACCCACCCACCTCTGATTTTGTGGTGATTTTCTTTTTTCTGATTTTCAACATATGACCTCAACATCCATTCAAATATCAAATCTAATACACAAGCCTTTTATAAAACAACCCTTATTCACATGTGTATTGTTGTGTGACAGTTCCTGGTGACTGTTATATCAGAAATGGAGAGACATACAGAGGCACAGTCAGTACCACAGAACACGGTGAGGAGTGTTTGGACTGGCATTCCTACTTTGTTCTGGCTCGTGTTGGAGATGTTTTCAGACGATTCCCAGACTTTGATGGGCTGGAAAAAAACAACCACTGCAGGTATTTGGCTATAAATATATTTTTGGTTATTTAATTTTTGTTGATAGGACAGGAGAAGATTTTTTGCTAGGATAGTACATGCTATATACATGAGACTCATAACGGCAAATTGTAGTAACGTTCCTTCTGTTGTCCTGCATTTACACTGACAAACAATTATTTTGACAAACAGTGGAGGTGAGGTAAATAAAATGTCTTGCTTAACTACACAACCACAACCAGAGCTGAGAGCTTTTCATAATGTAAACCAGTGTGATTATTTTTAGAAAATGTCTTTTAGAAATCCAGATGGAGACCTCAGACCATGGTGTTATGTTAGAAGAAAGAGAAAACTGGTCTATGACTACTGCAAAATCAAGAAGTGCCCTGAAGGTAACAAGCAGTGGGTGTGCTTTTATTTCAGTAGTTCAGTTCATATGGGTATTTGAAGAGTTAATAGAAATTCATCCATCATCATTTGACAATGAAACAACTTGATTTTGAGTCTAGTACAAAAAGGCACACAATGTTACTTTTACATTTTCAGCTCCGACCACTCCAGCTCCAACCACCCCAGCCCCAACCATGACCCCGAGTCCCAACTCTCCGTTCGCTCAGTGTGGGGTGGGTCGACCTAAAAAAGCCCTCAGGATCTTTGGGGGCACCAAGGCGTTTCCTGGATCAAACCAGTGGCAGGCCTCAGTGCAGATCAGGGACAGAGGCTCCAGTCTGCCCTTCAGGCACATCTGTGGAGGGATACTCATCTCCTCCTGCTATGTCCTCACAGCTGGACACTGTATGTAAGTTACACTAAACGTCCACAGCTCTTTCAACATATCTGATACACATTCTAAATTAAATACAATATTACAGGTGCAATGCACAACTTTTCTGCTTGTCTTCATGGAGATGTTTTTGTTTTGTCTAGAGTGTTCCACAGTAGAGATTAAATTTATTTATCTATTTCTATTTCAAGGAAAACAACTATAGGCTGCATTATGGACAGATTTGTGGAGACACAACTCTATTCACAGAGAGAATTATTGTATTTTTGAGCAATAGAAACACCTGTAATGAATAAATGCTAAATAGATGTGTTTAATGTCATATCATGGAACATTCCTGGCAAAGAAATCTCCATGGAAACAAGCAGGTTATGGACCTTCCACCAGAAAAGTTGTGCAGTGAATCCTTAACAGAGGCTTGTGTTTGACAGTAACCAAGGAAAAGAGTATCAGGTTGTTTTGGGTGGAATCGACATCCTCAAACAGGAGGACATGGATCAGACCATCGCAGTGACTGACATGTATGTTCATGAAGACTACAAAGAAACTCCTGAGTCAGTACACAATGACATTGGTAAGTCAATAATCACATTAACAATGGACAGGTCACAGGCAATTGTCCTTTTGCTAGTATGTATTTCACAATCTGAACAAATCTGAAAAAAGAAAAATCTAAAGAAATCAACAGAAGATGTCATTCATTTAAACACAGTATCAGTCGCTGAGGGGAGAATTTGACACACACATTTTTTGCAGCACTTCTTAAGCTCGAAGTGACAGACAGCCCTTACTGTGCAAAGGAAACTCCATTTGTCAAAACTGCATGTCTCCCAGATGAGGCCTTCCCTGCTGGAAAAGAGTGTGTCATCTCAGGATGGGGAGCAACTGAAACACGTATAATGCTGTCAGTTATTGGTTCAAACAAAACTGTGACATTATATCAAACCTAAATGTTACTTTTCCAGAGAGCACCAGTAGTCAGCTGTTGAACACGAATGTATTTCTGATCTCCAATGAGAAATGCAATGCTCCTCACATCTACGCAAATACACTGGATGACAGCATGCTTTGTGCTGGGGTCTTAGAGGGAGGCATAGACGCCTGCCAGGTTTGTAAATAAGGCATACAGCTTAACTTCAGTCTGAATATCCACTTGATCAAGTATTGTTTTCATGTACAGGGTGACTCCGGTGGTCCCTTGGTGTGTGAGACAAATGGCACTTATTATATAACAGGAGTGGTGAGCTGGGGAGATGGCTGTGGACAGAAGAACAAGCCCGGAGTGTATGCAAATGTTCTGCAGTTTAAAGACTGGATTTTAAATAAGATGAATTAAATTTAATCTAGACTTAATATATTTACATGCTCTGTGATGTCATGAATCAGTAGTTTTCAAGTTAAGAGCTACCTTTTAACTTTTGTTGAGTAGAGATTGGCAATTTCAGGGTTGAAATCATCCACATGATTCTAGTGAAGGTGTATAGAGTTTAAAACACAGTGTTTTCTGATTGAGAGAAGAACTCATCTTAAATGCAGGATTTGCATGTTAATCATGTGTTAATGAAACAAAATACAACTCCAGGCTATCTAAACTTGATATATTTGCACCACTTAATTGATTCAACCCTGAAATAAAAGAACAATTTGGACAAAAGAAGAAGAATTTGCTTTGGAAAAAATATTTTATTAGCAATTAAACCAAGCATTTACTCCCAGCTCAGCTTTGAGTTACAACGGATACATAAATACTGAACCTGCCAGACAAAACAAGACCTCAAAGTGCATAAATTCCACAACCATTTTGTCTGCCCTCATCTTCATCATCATTATCATCATCAGTAAAAACTACAAATGAGTCAAAAATATGTACTGTTTGCAGCAACACACATTGTACCAGCTGCCTGATTTTTAAACAAATGCAACATCATGTGACCTTTGCCCTTTAAACAACCTAAATTCAGTTTATCGAACCAGGTTGCACATAACCAGGTCAACTTATTTGTTAACACATCCCACAACCTACTTTCTCTTCTCTCCTCCTTTCTCAGGCATTCAAAACAGAAATATATGCTGAATTTTCTGTCTACTTCAATCAACATACCTCTATCTCTCTTACACCCCCTTCACCAGTTGCACTCTATTACTTCATATGACAAAATGTGTTTTTGAAGTCAGTAGTTTAAACAAAGCATATATGAAAAAAACAACATTGAGTTAAAGTTCCAAGATGGCTCAACCTTTATCTGTAGAACTTCACTGAACTGAGATCACGCAAAACATTTTCCACTTATTGTTCTTTCCTAGTTAGACCACTTTTCTAGCCCATCTTGCTTTTTACAATTAAAAGGTACACTGTGTAGCTTTTTGGTTGGGGGTCCATAACTTGCTTGTTTCGCTGAATATGTCATTGCTCTGCCTGGAATGTTCCACGGTATGACATTAAACAGCTCTACCTTACATTTATTAAATTACAAGTAGTTTCATAGCTCAAAAATACCTAGAAAAACTGGGATTCTGACTGTGAGTGTGACTTCTGGTTTGGTCGCCATGAAGATAGAATGATTTAATACCATACTGTGAAACATTCCAGGCAAAGCAATAACATCTCCATGGAGAAAAGCATTTGACGGGCCCTCCACCAGAAAAGTTACACAATGCACCTTTAACTTGTGGTTTCATTGGTGGTTGTAATGCCAAATGTGTGTATTTCTTATGCTTCCTCTATGGCACCTTTAGTAGACATAGACTGGAGCATGGCAGCTGTTGATGATGATGATGATGAAGTGCTTGAGGATTTCTTCTCCATGGACTTGAATGAGGAAGTGGTGGTGGTTGTGGTTCTTTTCTGGACAGTCTGGATCTTCTTGCGTTTGACATGTAGGACCTCCATGGCGTCCATGTTGACTCCCTGTTGGATCTCCTCAGTGGTCTCCACCTGCTCTGATGACTGCTGCTGGTTCTGCTGCTGCTCCATCTGCTCCTGGTACTGCAGCTGGACAAGTGGAGAAATCAGTTGTTTAGCATTGTTTAGTATGTGGGGGTGCAAGGTGCTCAATATATTCTTCAAACATGAAAACAAGTCTCAAAATAAATGGCTAAAATGCCTTATTATTTAAAGGTGCACTATGCAACTTTTCTGATGGAGGGACATCTGTTGACCTGTTTGCATCCAAGAATATGTTAATTCCTCACATGTTTCATGTCTGTCTCCATGGAAACAAGAAGGCGACACTGCCTGGTCAGAATACATGTTTTTTCTAGGTAAGCCTGCTTTTGTTATAACACCTGTAACTGAATAAATGCAAGATAGATAACTGTAATGCTGTATTGTGGAACATTCCAGGCAAAGCAATAACTTCTCCATAGAGACAAACAGGTGGTAAATCTGTTATCAGAAAAGTTACATAGCACACCTTTAACTCATATAATCAACTGTTAAGTTTACCTATACTCAAGTATAATTATTTTACATACGGTACTTATAACTACTACTATAAAACAGTGGTGCAACTGGCCACATTTTTATACAGAGCTTTTCCACCTTCAAGGCACTCAAAGCGTTTTACATCCAGGAACCACTCACCCATCCATACATGCATTCATACACCCGTGTACGCAGACACTATTTTTATGTGAACTCACCATCATCATGTGCTGGTATTTGGCAATAGCCTCGTCAGTACTAACCCCCTCTGTGAGCCCCAGTTCAGCAGCCCTCCTGGCAAGTTCGGCCTTGTGTGATCCAGGAGGGGTCCAGCCCACTCCTCTGATCCAGTTCAGATCTGCCTTGTAGTTCCGCTGTGAAAATAGGACAAATTTGAATTTAAATAGTCAAATGAATTGCTTACACTACCATTTATTACACCAAAATGTACCTATGCATAACATAAGTAGGGCTGGGTATCTTTCCTAATATACCAAATAAACACACTAGTTTGATTTTATATACTACCATAGATGTACATAATGAACATATCTAACCCGGTAGCCACTGTATTCCAAACAGAAAGTGAGCAATACGGGTCTTGGCATTTTGGTCTTAAAATGTTTGTATTAACCCACTGTACCAATCCTGGTGTTTTTATTTCGCTATTTTGTCCATATATAAATTTGTAACTGTGAGCTTTGGTGAGCTTCATTTGACTGGAGCCGAATGCCATGGGTGACGTCACACTTCTTTAGTCCACTTCCGTACAGTCTATGACTATTACATTGTTTTATTTACTTACATCGCTCTGCAGTTTATAGGCCTCCTTGGCATGTTTGACATTGAGTTGTTCGGGGTCACAGGTGTAGTCGTGCAGTTTCTGGCGGTACACCACATCGCTGGCCTGGGCCTGGCTTTTCTTTGCCAGCAGGAACTCGGGCCGGTCTGCGCTGATCTTGTACTGAGAGCGTCCCTCCTTGGACTGCCGCGTGTACTCCAGGTTACTCTGCAGTTTACTGGCCGCCAGAGAGTGCACGAGTTTGGGGTCATCCTCCACACAGCGCAGGCCAATTTGCTGACCCTTCTCCTTCAGATGGGACTCTTTGTAACTCAACTGCAACACAGGGTAAATAGAAATTGAAAATTGGAAAAAATAAAAAGTAAAATCTACATAATCTAAATAAAAAATAAAATATCTATCTAATGAACCAGCAAACATTTACTTTTTTCTTTTGGAGTGACCATAACAAACCATTTCTTATCTAGTATGTGTGTATATAATCAGGTTTTAAGTCAAATGCCATTCCTGCAGCAATAATAACAATTAAAATTCCATGTTATATTGAAATTATACTTTATAAATAATAATAATAACTTTTACTGTGCTACGTTTACTGGCTCTTAACTACTGTACTTTAAAGATACTTTATAAGTAAAAAAAAAAGGAAAAAGTTAAAAGTTAGTATAATGTCACAACTTACATCACTGGCTATTTTCCGTGAGGCCTTGGCAGTCTGGAAAGGAATAGCATCCAGCCTCAAGTCGTAGCCAGATGTCTTCACCTGCTCCCCTTGTGCCTTATAGACTTTCTACAAGTAAACAACAGAATATTACTTCTCTCTTTTTAATATACACAGCATATTAAGACATTGTATATTTAACACAAATCTTACATCACTGATCTGCTGGGCGTTCAATTTGGCCCTCACAAAATCTGGATCATCTGGATGTAAGGTGTATTTGTGCATGTCATCGTTCTTTCCAGATTTGTACAGCCTCTGCACACAGAAGGCAGGGTTACTATCATTTTCTTTATATTATAGTATAAACATTCATATTAATGATATTCCAAAAGTTGTAAGTAATACTCATTAAAATTTGTTACTTGATGTTAAACAAAATAAATGTACCTCACTACACTGCTGGTAACTGGTCTTGGCGTGGATGATATCTGGAGAGTCTGCAACTTGAGTAAACTTGAGACGGTCAGGAAGCTGGCGATATTTCTTCTGCAGAAACAAGAAGTAAATACATACACATTTTGTATAATTATTACAGAATTGGTGTGAATAAGGCCATGTATTTAAAAGATTATGGAGAATACTTCATACTGTAATTCAATTCTATAAGACAAAGACTTGATTATGATATTAAAGCTGGACGATATGACAAGCAATTTATCTTTTTTCTCTCATATGGATTGAGTACATTTTAAATTACTTTCATTTTGCCTTATTACTCATGACTTTTGATAAATGCCATTAAAAAAAAAATCTAACTTCTTTCTATGTCTATGGTCTGATCTCTCCAAACCGCATGCTTTTACTAAGTGTGGAACACTTGATTAAAAAGACCCAAGCACATCATTCACAATTACAGAGGACTGAATCTTGATCGATTAAAATTTTATTACTTGCACAGCCCTAAATAAATTGCTGCACTTACATCACTGACGAGTTCTCCTGCCTTTTTGGCAGACTCCAACTGAGGTGCGCCCACACCATCCCAGGCCACTCCTTTCATATAATTCAAGTCAGACTTGTACAATTTCTACAAGAATAAAAAACATATTAATATACAGATACTTAGGTTACTTACTTAAGTTACTATAATTAAGTATTTGGGCTAATTGTACTTCAGTAGATTTTTAAACAAGTACTTATACTTCAAATACTTCCAATAACTCTAGCCATGCAATTGTAATTAGTTATATTTTAAATTATAGAAGTTACTGAGTCTCAGTTGTCCCAGTAAACAACTGTGTCACTGCTGACTGTGCAGATTGTGGTTTAACAACTCAACTCATCTTCAGTTTAATTAAGCAAAGTTGTGTAAAAAACGTAATGTCACTAAAACTGCATACAAAAGTAACTTGTACTTTGAATAGTGTTACACTAATTACTATACAGTTCAAAGCTTCTACACGCACCTCACTCTGGAGTTCATATGCCTTTTTGGCCCATTTGACCTTCATATCATCAGGCAGCACAGTGTACTCATGCAGTTTCTTTCTGTAGTCCTGGTCACTGGCCAGAGCTTGGGCGTTCTTGGCGGTCACGATGTTGATCATGTCTGGGGTGAGGTGGTACTGTCCGCTGGCTGTTAGGGCGTCTCTTCTGTATTCCTGGTCACTTGCCAGTCGGCCAGCTTGAAGGCAGTGCAGGACATTCTGGTCATCCAAAACGCTCTTCACACCAATGTGCTTTCCCTTCTCCAGCAGGTGGTTGTGCTTGTACTGATACTGCAGAAAAAAGATTTATAATGTTAAGTTCTGAGTTTAACACCCCTGATCTTGGCAAAGGAAAAACATCTCCATGGAGCCAGATCCCCGCATGAGAAAAGTGTCTTAGTGCACGTTTTGAGAGATTTTTGGATACCAGATCGGTTCAGACTCTTTTGTTTAACTATCATAAGTCGCAAGTATTGACAAATTTTCCTGTTTATATTATGTCAAATTTGAGGACAAAAACTATACCTGCTACCTACTATTTCCTGCTCATATTCTATATTCAAAAATGTATGTGACCACTTGTTAAGTGTATATGATAGTGGGTTGTAAAAGCTATAGAATGCATACATCGCTAGCGATGCCGGTAGAGCTCTTTGCAGCCTGGAATGGGATGTCCTGCATGGTCAGCTTGTAGCCCTGAGCTCTCAAAGTGTGCCAGGAATCTTTGTACTTAATCTGAAAGGAGACAGGTATTAAACACAAAAGTGAATATTATATGAATCATTGATAAAACTGCAGTTGTATTACATCGCTGAGATTGGCTGCGTTGATCTTGGCTTGTGTAATTTCCGGTCTTTCAGTGGTGATGGTGTAGTTGTGCTGGTCGCTGACACCTTTCTCTTTGTACAAACGCTGAAAAAAAAAGTTTAAATATTTTAAATGGGCTAATATTTTACATATTAAAAATCAAACATATTAACTCACCTCATTTGTGATTTGTCCACTCATTTTGGCATGAACGATATCTGGGGAGTCAGTGACAGATGTGTGTCTGAAGTTGTATGGTTGTTGGCGGTACTTCTTCTGTTGTAAAAAATAATTGTTACAGTTAAAATAAAGGTAATATAAGAGTGATAGTAGTAAAATAATCCTGTTTTTATTTCATATCTTACGTCACTTATGAGTTCTGTTGCTTTCTTGACT